GGAAAATACATGCAAAAATTATGCAAAAAACATAATTTCTTTTTACCATTTTAAGTAAATCAACTTGGTGATAGTGGTTAGATAGTATTTAACATGGAATAAAGGCAAAAAGTAACAAGGGGATATACTATTTCTATTATCACCTGTGTCTTTAAAAACCAAAAGTTTGGAAAGAAACCAAATTTGGAAAGAGATGCATTTGTAATATAAAAAAGGTATAGTAAAAATCTGTCATCCTTGGGCTAGGGTTGTTTGTGGCTCAGTGATAGAGTGCTCACCTAGCGTGTGCAAGGCCCTGGGTTTGATCTTCAGCACCACATAAAAATAAATAAATAAAGGTATTGTGTCCAACTACAACTAAAAAATAAATATTTTTTTAAAAATTGTCATCCTAAATTTTAATTGAAAGTTATTAGCCTGAATTTACAAAGTATTTTATCTTTAAAATATATAGATATATTTTCTACCTCTGTTCACTACAAAGGTTTAGAAACATTGATCAATCTAGCAGCAATGGAAATTCCAAGCTAGTTTCTTTTTTCCTTTTTTAAAAAAAATATTTATTTACTTATTTTACAGAACATATTTTGACATATTATATACAAATGGAGCCCAATTTCTAATTTCTCTGGTTGTACATGGTGCAGAATCACTCCAGTAGTGTCAGTATTATTTCTCTAAAAATAATTTAGAGCTGCTTAGAGGATTTTCTGACTAAAGGTCTGGAGCAAAAACATACAAGATGAACCTGGAACATCTTATCCTATCAGAGAGGAAGAAACATAAGACTACTAGGATTATGTCTAAAAAAGAACTCAGAAATCAACTTGAAGACTCTCATTGGCCAAAGATGAGATAATTTGAGCTTTAATAAGGATAATAATTATAATAGAGTAAAATACATTCCACTGTGTTTAAATACAAGTATATAATGATTATTTTTTAAAAAAAAAATCCTAACTGGCTGTCATGTTAGAAAGTGATAAGGAACAAATTCATTATCTGAAAACTAAAAAATAAATTATCCTGCCTTTCCTAAATGAACTATATCATTGGATAACCAAATAGTAGATAAAAGAATGTATTGCTTCATAAAAGTACTCTAACACCTAAACATATGGAACAAGCAGATCTAGATTGGGACTCTTCCACAGGTTAACAGTCTTGTTTTTCAATTGCTAAGTTGTAAAGGAAAAGAAGGGGATAGAGTCTAATCCTGTGGGTTAACAGACTCATAAGACATTGTATTTTTTTAAATGAGCAAAACTACAGTACATAGGATGTACTAGATTAAATGAAAAAGAAACTCTATAAAAGTCAAGGAGTATTTGCTTTTGAGGGAAAGAGTTGTGATTAGGACAAAACATATGTATGGACTTACGGGGTGGCAGAAAAGTACTATTTCTCAACCTAGGTGAGGTTACTGAAATATTAATCAGATGTTCATTAAGCTAAACATGTGTTATATATAATCTTCAATATCTTTGTTTTATAATAAATAGGATTCTTTTAAAAAGTATAGAATACTCATTGGCTACAAAATAAAATCTAAGTTAGCAGGCATAACTACTAGATTATAAAAGTACCACCAGTGCCCAGGCTTCTTATAATCTAGTCCCAAATTATATTTCAATTTTATATAACTTTTATCATGCCCTCTCTCCTTATACTCCTCAACAACCCTGACCTAACTACTCTCCAAATAAGTCACACTTATTCACAACGGTTTTGTCTACTGTTTTGCTATTCTTAAAATTATATTCACCTTTTAAGATCAATCTGAGAAACTCTCTTTCAACCCCTACAATGAATGTGTTCTTTCCTTGGGGTTTCAGGGCAAACTCTGGCCTCTCAATCACAGAACTTATCTCACTCTGCCTAATATTGCTCACTAGGATAACAGTAAGGACAGACTCAAACAGACCTGAATTTCAATTCATTCATTTACAGAACAAATATTTACTGGGATCCTACAATTATTACAGGTACTAACCTAAGATATTGGCAATTCAACGATAAACAAGGCAAACATAGTCCCTGCCATAGTAGAATTTACAGTGTAATGAGGGATATAGACAAGTAAATACGCAATTACATTTCTTGCAATTCTAACCTTCCTCGAACTTTGGAAAATAAGAAGAATGGAGATGGCATCACGAGAGGGAAAGTGACATTTAAGCTGAAACTTTAGGCATACAAATTAGTCATATGTCAAAATGCATGCAGTTCTAGTGCTCATTAGCTGACTAGTGACTTAACCTCTCTGAACCTCAGATCCTCATCTGTCAAATAGGAAGCATACACTCAAACCCCTGGAATTTCTGAGAACTCAGTGAAATGTAAAGTAACTGGCTCAAATGTGCCTAACAGAAATTATGATTTTTTAAATTACTATTTGCCTTTTAAGTTCTTCAGGACAGATTCATGTCTAACTCATCTCTGTATATGCCATAGCACCCAGCACACAGATATCCTAGTCAGCAGGGCACTGGCAGCACACACCTATAATCCAGCTACTCAGGAAACTAAGGCAGGAGGACTGCAACTTAGCAAGACCACAGTTCAAAATAAAAAGGGCTAGAGATTGCAGGGAGCTGCCACGTAGGAGCTGGGCGCCCCCTAGCTTTGAGTGATGGAAATGCAGAGACTGGCTTCCCTGACCCAGAAGCAGGTGGAACCCATCTCAGCTCTGCAAAGAAGCACAGCTTTGGGAGTGGGGGCTACCCAATGGGAGTGGGCTGCCCTTTGTAACATTACCCCTCTGCCTTATATGGATGGAATGTTCTTTCAAACAGCCTCCCCCAATAAAACCAGAGTTTGAGGCATGCCCCTCTCTCTTTCTTGCCTGCCTTACCCACTTTGTGGGAACTGAGTCAGAGGAGCCATCACAGAACCCAAAGCAAAAGGTATTTCCTGTGTCTTTGTGTGATTATTTCTTGCCAGCCCAGTTCACCTGGAGTGATCCTGACTGATTTAGTCATGTGTCCTGACAAGAGACATAGCTCAATAGTAAAACAACCCTGGGTTCAATTCCCAGTACCAACAGAGAAAAAGAGATGACAGTTCCCACAAGAGAGCCTACTCACCTGAGGATGTTGATACAACCATTGCCATTTGTCAGGAAGAACATATTATTGTCATTGTTCCAGGAGATTTCATTGACCTCAAACTTGAACTGCTCTTCTGCTTTGGAACGGTGTGTCTTGGCATCAATAAAGGTCACAACATCATCCTTGTTGCCTACAGCAATGGTCTGCCCATCAGGACTCCAGCAGATATTAATGTTCTCCCCTGGGAACCCAGATATAATCAGCAAATCACCTGTTTGCCCATAATCCTCCAGAAGTTTATTTGCTATCCTAGAAAGAAGACCAGAACTATCTTCAGAGCTCATTCATTAAAGTTCTAGTCAATAGAAGGGGAACTAGTACTCCAGCACATTCATTTATAAAATTCCCCATTTGGCCCTCACAAGTACACATTATATCCTTTTTATCCACAGATTTAAAAAAGAAAAAGAATAAAAAAAAAAGGGACAATAAGAAGATGAGCCAAAATGTCAAAGCCATAAAGTCACAGAGCCAAGATTTAAACCCAGATTTGACACCAAGATTCTCATTCTTATACCAGCATTTCTCAAACTCTACTCACATACCTCCTCCCCAATTTCTATCCTATCAATGTAACAGTTATACTTTTCTTTATTAAAGATTTTTTTCTCAAAATTGACACAAAAAGTTCCTTAAATAAGTTTAGTTTCAATTGAACAACAAATTCTATGAGCTAGTTCTTTTCTTCTATTAGGCATTAAAATATATATATAACTTTTAACATTCATCCATGTACCACCTAAATCACTCATGCATCAGCAGTTAAGTACTTGGGGAAAGCATTAATTGTATCACTCTACTTCCTCCAAGTAAGTCTTATTCAAAAAATCCAATAATCCACTACTGAAAATATAAATTAAAAATTTCAATTTTATCAATTCTAAAATTCAAGTTTTTTCACATTTTAATTTCTATGATGTATTTTTAAATGGATAAAGATGAATTCCAAACTTTTGGGTATATCATGGTTATCAGGCAACTTTCCTCCCTAATGGTACATACAATATTGAAGCATTTTACAATCAATGACATCTTTTTTTTTTTTAAATTTAATTTTTTTTTTTAGAGAGAGAGAATTATTTATTTATTTAGTTTTTGGCAGACACAACATCTTTGTTTGTATGTGGTGCTGAGGATCGAACCCGGGCCGCACGCATGCCAGGCGAGCGCTCTACCGCTTGAGCCACATCCCCAGCCCAATCAATGACATCTTAAGTGTTAATTATGATAAATGACCTCAAGATTGATAGGATAATACCTGATAAGAACATGGCCTATAAACATGCTACATAACATTCTGGTTATTTTCTTCCACACCACCAAGACTATCCAAGCTTCAGCCATTCTAATCTACTTGAATTTCCCAAAGTCTCCATGCGTTTGCATATGCCATTCCCTCCTAAGACTGCCCCTCCTACTCCTTACCCACTGCATCCTGACCACCAAATTATTTTGGTTACTCAAAAAGAGTGCTCAAATTCTGTATGTTCCCAGGTATACATATAAATTTCTAATCTGGGTACCCATCTTGTAGAAGTCTCCATGAACGAACTATGACATTTTTATGCATATGTCTCTCTCCACATTAAACCACAAGGTTCTAGAGGACTGTCTTATTCAGCTCAGGATTTCCCACACCTTGCAGAGCACTAAAGCTCATATTCCATAAATAGTTGCTGAATTAATAAAAGAAGCTTATCTTCCCAATGCACACTTTGAATAGTCACCTTTAGTGTTTACAGTGGCAATGCATTTTGTAGTCCTCACATCCCAGATGCGAATGGTTTTATCGCCAGATGCAGTGACAAAGAGGTCAGGATTACTGGGATGCCAACACAGCTGGTCCACGCTATCCCCATGTCCCCGATAGTTGTTTTCTTTGACCTGAAAGGAAAGAATCCAGATGACGCTTCATGATGTACTGCCTCTACATGAAACATAAGTGTATTCGACTGAAAGTATCTTGGGACAAAGACGATCTAGATAACTCAAAAGTATCCAGTCCTTCCAAGTCCTTTCTTCAGAACTCTCTTGTTTAGCCTCCCTTCCCTCCACTTTAATCACTCTGAACTGTTCTGAGGTTCCACATCTGAGTTCCCTTCTTTCTGATTTTCCACCACTACTCTAGCACCAACATCCCAATTCACCTGCCCGTTCCCAAAGGACTTCAAAAAGGGTCTCCTCAACCCGACAGGGACTCCATCACCCCAAGAGAACCTAGCCATTCCTCATTACCATTGGATTCCTTCGAACCGCTCCCCTGTGACTTTAAAATCTAAGACCCTCACCACCCCCTATTCTCATCCATCCTGCTCAACACCAGTCTTCATCCTCACCCTCCTCATCAACACACCTCCTTTCTACCACACTCGCTACACACACTTCCCCTCAACATCAGTCTTCCTCTTATCTGCCCCATCCCGCCCCCCCCGCCCACCCCCCTTTCTCCTCACCACACACCCTTCCTCCTAGTGCTCAAATCGATCTCCATTCCACTCCTCTGCCCTCCAACCCTCATTGTCTCCCTCACCGCACCTCGCTCCACCACAGCCCCTCTCCCAGGCCAGGGCCGGGCGCCGGTAACTCACCAAACGGTCCTTCTCCAGCAAAAAGACACTGGCCGTCTTGTCGAAGGATCCGGAGGCTAAACGACGCCCGTCGCAGCTCCAGGCCACCGAGTGCACCTTGGCACTATGCGCCGGGAACTCGCGCGTCTTGCTGTGGCCCCGGAACAGCTCTTGCATCCCGAGCACGTAGCGCGACGGACCACTGCTCACGGAGCACCAGGGGGCCATCGCACCAGGGCTACTCTGACCCAGCGCCGAGGGTCCCATGGCTGCCGCGGGGACCGCCATGACGATGTTTCAGAGGGTTAACGAGCCGCCAGCCTGGTAGCAATCAGTCCTGGCGCCGCCGCCTCACGCATGCGCTTGGAAGAGCATCCGCCCGTCTGCGCAGGCGCAGGGTGGCCTTCCCCAGAAGGGACTACAAATCCCGGCATGCAATGTGCTTCCCGCCGCTGCTCTTTCAAATTAGCATAGATTTCGCTCTCAATTTAAGTCTCGCTGAACGTTTCAGCCTGCTTTTATTGCCCTTATTTCTCCCTTACCTACTCTTTGATAGATATACTTGAATCCCTGTTTAATCCAGGAAGGGAACCAACGCAAACCTTCCAGTTTTTTTTTTATTAGTTACACAGGACAGTATAATGATCTTGACATACCATACGTTTGAATCAAATGGGGTATAATTTCTCATTTTTCTGAGTGTACAGGTTGCAGAATCACATTGGTCATACAGTCAAGTGTATACATACAGCAATACTAGTGTCTATTTTTATCAGTAAAATGTCTTGTAGAGTTGTTTCCCACCCCCAAACACTCCCTCCCTAGGCGCAGAAAGTTTGGACTTACTAGAGGACCTGAGTAGGATAGAAGAAATAAGCAAAGTTTGAAGAAAACCAACGGGAGACTGGGGTCTTAGCTCAGTTGGTAGTGTGCTTACTTGCATGTACAAGGCCCCGTGTTCAATCCCCAACACTGCCAAGAAAAGAAACAGGGATGGGGGAAAAATTGTAACTTTAAATCTAAGATGTTCTATGTACATCTATGTACATCCTCACCTTTACTGTTTTTCTCCAAATTCCTAAAAGTCTCATAAATCTTAAAAGTATTGTTGAGTCTACATGATAAATTCCCACATAGGTTGAAAGTTTACATGATTTTTTTTTTTTTAGAGACAGGGTCTCACTGAGTTGTTTGGCGCCTAGCAATTGCTGAGGTTGGCTTTGATGGTTGCTAGAATTACAAGCGTGTGCCTTAGCACCCAGCTTTACACAATTTTTTTAAGCCTAATGGGAAAATATTGTTAAAGATTTATAGGTATAGTCCAAATGCTATGTATTAACTAGATGAAATCAACCTAGAGATCCTGAAAGAACCAACTACCCTGTGCTTTCTGATTAAGAGAATTGAAATTGATACTAAAAACTCAGTCCTTGTCCCATTGCCAATCCAACAACAAGGACAAGATTTTGAGAAAAAGGAAAAGCTTTATTGTTTTGCTTGGAAAACAAAAACTCCTGTCCAGATGCTGTGATTCTCCCTGCCAGGGGGAACATGGAGGCTTTTAAAAGAGGAACATAAGGCCTGGGATACAAATATTATCAGTAAATATAATTAGTGTCCATCAGTGTCCTTGAGAGAGCCATTACTCCAGTTCCTGGGTTTGGAGTTTCTTTTTTCTTGTGGGCAGTAACACTCTTTCAGCAGTGAAGGACATGATAGATGCTCAGCCTGGGACAAGAAAAATGTTAGCTTTGTCTCACCCACTGTTAGGGAGGAGAAAAGGAGGAAGAAGAAGAAGGGAGAAGGGAATGCAATTTTTAAAATAAGCCATTTGCAGTGGAGCAGCAAGGTTTGCACTCAAAGCATAAAATGGACTTCCATTACGAGTTCACCAGATGATGTGATGTTATCTCTACATACTTGTTATGTTCACTAATTACAAAATTTCTTTTAAAAGGAAGGGTGCACCTCAAAAGTGCATCTCACTCTCCAGCACCACACTCCATCCTTGGAGTGCACCTTCTGCTCTGTTGCTTGCTTTCCTTAATAAATCCCCTTGCTTTCCCAAATAAACCTTCATTTTTGCCTCGTTGGACACATCCCCAAATACCTTTCTGCAACACAAGTCAAGAACCTGCCAGGGCTGAGTGAAGGTGTCTTTCTTCCTTCAGAGGGACCTCCTAAAAGCACTATCCAGTGATGAACCCCATTGTCTCCTCAAATCTGGAACACTAGCTGCACCCAGGCCTGGGAATGATGGGGCAGAAGGTAACCCTGTCCACTTGTGCACATGTCATGGGGAGAGGATAGCAGTCAACATCCCAGGGAGCTTTGGGGATGGTCTTGTGTGGAAGAGCCCAGGAAGTGACCTCATTTCCTTGACAATGGAATAAACAGAACCTGGAACGCTGGTAACCAGTCACCCATAATCCAGAGCCAGCCCCATTCAGGTCACTTGTCTGAAGACCTTGGTGGACATATGTTCACTTGCAGATTCCTGAGGTTTCTGCCTCCAGAAAGCATGGAGTGGGGGTCTTGTCCTCGTCTGGAGACAGTGAATCAGCCCTCACCCCTGACACCTTTGGCAATCTTCCCAGAGGAGACCAGAGGCTAGACAGGGCGGCCTACCATCCTGATCCCTCCATGAACAGCCCCAGACCCTGCCCAATTGTGTATGTGCACACACGTGAATGCATGTGTGTGTATACATTAATGTGAAGGAAGTTTGGTGTTTTCTTGTTTAATACTGGGGATTGAACTCGGGGGTGCTTTACCACTAAGCCACATTCCAGCCCTTTTTTATGTTTTATTTTGAGACAGGGTCTTGTTAAGCTGCTTAGGGCCTCGCTAAATTGCTAAGATTAGCTTTGAACTCACAATCCTCCTGCCTCAACCTACGGAGTTGCTGGGATTACAGGCATGTGCCACTTTGCCCTGAGAAGGAAGATTCTTCGTGTGCCGTTTTCACCTCACTGTATGGCAGGGAGTCATTTTACAGTTTACTGCTATTTTCTGTTTGAACTGTCCCTCCTTGGTCCCACTCCAGGGAGAAAATGAGTCATCCCCAACCCTGGATGATCCCAACAGGATGGAGACTCTCAAGGCAGGCATGGTGGAGAAGTTGCTGAAATACCTGGTACCTGCCCTACAGAGTGGAGACCCCTGCTTTGTCTGTGTCTTCCTGTGCATGCAGCAGATGCTGAACCTAATGTTCTGAAGGTGCACACAACCTTAAGGCCCAAGGGAACTCTCTACCTGCTTGGTGCCCTGCACCATCTAAGCCCCAGTTTTCTCTGTGGAAATTGGGATTTTCAGAGGATCACCCTCCTAGCGTATTTTCAGGACCAAGTGGGATGAGCCAAGGAAATCCTTGCCCCAGGCCTGGCCCTGCAAAGTGAAGAAACTCTGCCTTAGGCCTCACTTATCTAAGGCTTTGGAAAAAGCAGTTTCTTTATTTGTAAAAGATGTTCCAGAATCCATCTCAGAGGGTCTCCAACCTAGATGTAGCCAGAGCAGGGACACCAGGGAGTAGAATGAGGATCCCCTGGCCCACTGAGATTCTAGGAAGAGATGGTTGGGTTCTTTCATTGCAAAAACATATATGAGGGGTGGAGATCTGGGGCTTGGGGCGATGGCACCAGAGCACACTAACTGGGCAGCCAAGGAGGAGCCGGAGCCCCTGGAGAAAGGTTTGTTCCAAGATGAAGAGTCATGCAGTGATTGTAGCTACCACGATAAGCCAGTCACTAGTTTACAAAGTTTTGTGCCTGAAGGAAAAACTCTTTTCCCAGAAATTTTCCAAACAAGTCAACTTTTGTTCTATGAACGATTCAGAGCCTATCAAGATTACATTTTAGCTGACTGCAAGGCCTCTGAAGCAAGGGAATTCATAGCTGAGTTCTTGGAGAAGGTCCTTGAACCATCTGGATGGCGGGCAGTCTGGCACACTAATGTGTTTGAGGTTACAGATGTGGACTTTGCAGCCTTGAAGGCAGTCGTGAAGCTTGCTGAACCCTATGTCTGTGACTCTGAAGTGAACACTTTTACCTTGGATTGTGTGAAAGAGCTCCTTGAGCTGAAAGAATGTTGGTTGCCCCTGCAGGAGTCGTGGGTGGTGTTTGATGGTTCTCGAGTATTTGACCAGACAGCCCTTGCAATTGAGCACGTCAGATTTTTCTACCAAAACAGTTGGAAGGGAGGAGGATGAGTATGATCATTTTGTCAGATGTGTTGAACCTCGATTGAGATTGTATTATGATATTCTTGAAGCCCGAGTTCCTTCAGGACTTGTTGTTGACTACCGTAATCTGTTGTCTCAATGTGAGGAGAGTTACAGGAAATTTCTAAATCTGAGAAGCAGTTTGTCAAACTGTAATTCTGATTCTGAGCAGGAAAATATCTCCATGGTGAAAGGATTAAAATTCTATTCGGAGACTGAACAGTTGAAACAAAAGCTAAAACTCATTGAGAATCCTTTGTTGAGATATGTGTTTGGTTATCAGAAGAACTCTAATATTCAAGCAAAGGGCAACGTCCAAATGGCCAGAAGGTCACCCATGTGGTCTCATCCACCATGATGACTGGTCTACTTCGGGCTCTGCTCAGGGACAAGCTTTTTGAAGAGCATTGTGAGGGGGAAATAGAAGTTCAGTTCCACAGAGATCCATTGTCTGCTATAAATGCTTGCTTTGAAGGTGACACTGTTATTGTTTGTCCTGGTCATTACGTGGTACATGGCACATTCTCCATTGCTGATTACATTGAATTGGAAGGATATGGTCTACCAGATGCTATTGTGATAGAAAAGAGAGGCAAAGGAGATACTTTTATGGATGGCACAGGTGCGGATATTAAAATCTCAAACATAAAATTTGTTCAGCATGATGCTGTAGAAGGAATCTTAATCATTCATCGTGGCAAGACTACATTGAAAACTGTGTTGCAGTGTGAAACTACAGGAGTCACAGTACGAACATCAGCTGAATTTTTAATGAAGAACTCAGATTTATATGGTGCCAAGGATGCTGGTATTGAAATATATCCTGGGAGTGAGTGTATCCTGAGTGACAATGGGATCCATCATTGCAAGGAGGGGATCCTCATTAAGGACTTCTTAGATGAGCATTATGACATTCCTAAAATATCCATGGTAAATAATGTCATACATAATAATGAAGGTTATGGTGTTGTTTTGGTGAAGCCTACAATTTTCCATGAACTGCAAGACAATGCCCACGATGGAATTGAAGAAAATAAAGCACTTAAAATTCAGACAAGTGAAGAGGCAGATGCAGCTGGAAGAGTGGATCTAGAAGAGCTGATTCAGTGTGCAACAGGAAGAATGGAGCTTTCTGCAAGAACTGACCT